AGAGGCACGAGTCACGGCGCCGGTGCGGCTCCAGCGAGCTGCTGGGAAGGGGCCGAGGACGCTGCAGTGCATTAAGGGCAAAGGGGGCACCCCCAGTCCCCAGAGAGGTGAAGGCCCCAGCTTGGAAGGACGACCCAAGCCCCAGGGAGCTGCCTCAGGAGTAGGGGGTGGTTCTGGTCTAGAGCTTGAAGGAGCGTCCAAACCTTAACGGGAACAAGCCGTAACACCCTGGGAGTCAGAGGGGGTCAGGGAGATGCTGGGAGACCTTGGGTTGAGTCTCCAAAGGGGAACTGGAGGCAGAAACGGGCACGAGGCGCCTTATAAACCCATCACGGGTGGAGAAGAGCAGCCGGCCAGTGCCGGGACAAGCCCGGTTTCCCTCTCCCCCGAAGCAGCCCCTGCCCTCTCCGGAGCACTCACCCAAGAGCAGCCAGACGGCGAAGCGGAGCCACGTCATGTAACTGAGCTTCAGCATCAGGTAGATATTGAGGACGATGCTCAGCGCTGGCGAGAGGGGAACCAGGGGGATCTGCAGAGAAAAGGAGCCGGGGAGGGGGTGAGACTTGCGGGACCATGTTCCCCATCCTTAAACCTTATGTCCAAAAGCCAGCACTGATAATGTGGGGGACAACGTGACTGTCAACCTGGGCTTTCTGAAAATGACTTTTTTTTTTTCCGTGAAAAAAGCAGCCCAAAAGGGACCATGACAGGTGGGGAGCCAGGAGCTGGGAGTCAGGCTGGTGAGGTGGGCACGGGCTCTGGAAACAGCCCTGAGGCAGAGTCACAAGGACTGAACAAGCTCTGGGTGCAATCCTGAGCCAAGGTGGTCCTCGCTGGAGAAGCAGGGGAGGGGGGGTTCCCACTGGTGTTAGCGGTCACAGAGCTGCACTGTGACAAGGACCAGATGGGCTGGAAAATGCAGAGGGAGGAGCACGAGAGGCACAAAAGAGGTTTAGAGGCTGAAGAAATGAGCTCCACCATGCAGCTCAAAGGCAGAAGGAGTTGGGATGGGCAGGAGGGGAGCGGGCGGTTGCGGGGATATGGAGGCAGCCCAGGGCAGGCGGGAGTGATCTCGTGGGATGGACACAGAGGTGTTGGGGATGTCCCCTCCTGGTGACCAGTAACAATGCA